ATAAAGCTGAAGGCGTTATAGATGAAGAAAATCTTTAGGTGTTGAGCAATTGTCTAGTGGGGTGGTGCAAAGAATTTATCAAAATCGGTCATCTCGCTAGACAAATGCATGCAAAGGGCCTCACTGGCTTCTCCTTAATGAGAACTGCTGGTAATGCAGTATTAATGATTTTCGAAAACTCTTCTTCATTGAGAAGTGTGAATAACGATAAATCAAAGACTCTCGCAGAGTGGTTCTCCATAGTCGAAGCTTGGTCAAAGAGTTTGGTAATGGAGTGTCGCCGAGTATGGTTAGTTTGCGAGGGTGTTCCGTTTCACGTATGGAATTGAGATACTTTCAAGAACATCGCTGATTGTTGGGGTCAGTTACTAGCAATCTATGAAAGCTGTCAGTCACCATCATCCTTTGATCGGGCAAAAATTAAAGTCCTCGCAAAGGCTGGTGCGAGAATTGATGCGATGTTGGAATTGAAGGTTGGTGACAACTCCTTCAAGATCATGGTGCATGAGATAGAGTCTTCATTCAAGCCAAACTCTTGGACTCCTGAAGAAGACGAATCTCATTAGATCTCGTCTCTTAATTGTGTTTTGATTTAGTTTATATGGTTGCAGTGTTGCGTTTCTTTTGTATTATGTTCTGTTGCGTTGTTTTAATTCTATTGTTGGAGGTGTATTTAGAAATAAGGTGATTCGATTGTGACTTTGGATGAGGTTTTATGAGCTTAAGGTGTTTGTTGTAATGGTGAATATCACCATAGAAGGATATTCCGTGTTATCTTTTGTATTGTGTATTATTATTAATAAACTTTGAGGTACTCTTTTCTTCATTCCAATGTTCGTTAACATACTTCTTAGTATGTGAACGAATACGAAGGGAGTTTTTAATGAGACCTCCAACTTCTATAAAAAAAATCCAAATCCTCAACCTCCAATGTATTTTTCTAGTTAAACAACCCTTTAAAAAATTGCACCACCGAAGCTTTAATTAATTTTGGATCAGAAATGTCTTCATTATCCACTTTGAGGGATTTGATACAGTTTCTCCTTCCTCTACCTCTAGCACATTGGTGGAAAAATCGTGTGTTCTTGTCCCCTTCCAAACTCTACTTCAATCTTGACTTTTGTAGCCAAATCGATTCTTATTTTTTATACAAGTCCCACAACTCTTTTTTTGCTTCCCACTAATTTCTTCATAGACACCATGGGAAGACCTTGTTGCAAATCAAGTTCCATCTCTGAATTTCTTTCTCCAACCTATTTATTTTTCTGGGGAGCTCTATGTAACCCTTCTTAGACCATCTCTTAACCGCTTCCTTCACCCCTTTTAATACGCTAGAGATTGGTTTTTTCTCCACTTTACATAGTTTAACCAACTCCTCCTCCATCTTACGGAACCCATCCTTTTCCATGACATAGTTAAACAGCTTGAACAGTTTAGGACCCCAATTCCATCCCCTCTTTTCCAGCAAGATCATGTTATGATCTGAAACAGACCTTTCTTGGAGGCTTTGGGTTATCATGGGGAATATTGATAAAATTCTCTAATCCACTAGGAATCGATCCAATCTCACATAAGTTGGAACTTCCCTATTGTTACACCATGTAAATCGACCTCCAGCCAAAGGCAAATCTACCAAATTAGCTTTACTCACAAATTCTCTGAAAACATACATTGAAGCCAAATTCACTGCACCTCCAACCTTCTCATCCTGTGACAGAACAGCATTGAAGTCCTCTCCAAGACAACTGGACAGTCTACATTCTCCAAAAATGATAGCAGCTCTCCAAAAAACAACTCCTTTTCTAATCCATACTCGGCCCATACACATTTATGAACCAACAAGACCCTGATAGCTCTTCCACAATACCTTTTACTGCTACAAATCTCCTATGAATGATCTCCTCCTGAACCTGACACTCTTTCATTCCATAATGTAATTAATCCTCTAGCAGAACCTTCAGCTGATGAAATTGCCGAACCGATCAAAAATTTGCCTCCCATTTTTCTCAATAACGATTGAGTCAAAACTTTCATTTTCGATTCTTGAATAAATAAAATTAAAAGCTCCTCTCATCAACAAACCTCCTTACAGCTCTAGCTTTTATCCTCCTACCCAAACCCCTAACATTCCAAGACATTAATTTCCAACTAATCATCATTATCAAACGATAACCTTGAATTCTAGTACCCCTTAGTTTCCCCCATGTACTTCTTGATCTTTCTCCTTAACCAATGGAATTGTTTTGTTCATGAATGTTGTTTTCCCCCTCTAAATTTAACCCCCAACAATTTACTTACATTCCAGCACTCAAGTGCCTCTGCCCCTCCCTCCTCATTTGTATAAACATAATCAGAACTTGTACCAATACAACTCTAGCTCCCCCCGCTCCTTGATCTCGAATAGACACGTTTATAAAAATCCCTTCCCACTTTACTAATAGACACAGTCTTTCCAGAATTTCTATGTTGAGACAACGAAACAGACCCCACCTGCAAATGAGCCCGAGTCTACACAACATTATTGTCTGCTGCAGAAATATAACAATCCTTGCTTAATCTCACCTCCTCTTGATCTAGCCCACTCCTCGCTTGTATTTCTGGGCCTCTCTGAAGCCCAACCAGTCAACTTTCTCATGCCCAAAGGAAGCACCTCCCATACTTTTCCCATCTTCTCTCCCTTCATTAACTTCTTCCGACTTTTCTTGCTGGATGGAGACATCTCCTGCAGCTGACACTTCCTTGCACAAGTCAACTGAAAAAGTATTTTTCAAACCTATGTTAAAATTCAAACCCCCTCGGTATCTGTGTTTTTGTCTTGTTGGGAACCTCGAACCCATTCCTCAACCCTATTTTGGGAGTTTGACATCTCCTGTAATCCCACCTGCTCCAATCCGAGGAATTCTCCTCCCATGGATCCTCTGAAACATCTTCTTCATCCATATCTGTTAGCTCAGGAAAAAAATCCTCAGCACATTCAACTTTAATTTTGATCATGAATTTCCTCCCATACGTATTGATGATGATATGTTCTGGAATATCAAATGGACTCTCAACCCTTAGGAGCATCTGCGCCACTCTACAGTCCACTCTTTGGGCAATTTGAACTTGAATCTTTACTAACTTACCCCATCTGGATGCTAAACTGGTAAAGAACAGAACCGACCAACAATTTAATGGAACTCCAATCATTGAGATCACAATAAGCTAAGGGGATGCAACCCTCCTCCACAACAGGCTCCAGTATTTCAAACCAGAACGACAGAGCTTCCCATTTTTCTTCCAATGCAATTCTTCTCTCTTCCACCGACTGGAAAACTACCAGACAAGCATTCTTTGCAAAGCCCCACCTTATCACCTTAGCTTTGAAGCCCTCATTCCATAAGGCTTTCTGTACAAAATCCACTTCAAAAATAGCTTTGCAAATACCAGTAAGTGATGATTTCAACCAAACTCTCACTTCCACCGGAATAAAGACTTCCAAAGGTTTCTTCTCCTCCTTTTTATTCCTTTGACTACTCTCTTGAGCACCCTCTGGAACTTTATTCACCCCAACTACCGTATCTTTATAAGTTCTTCCATCAAGAAACCTATTCATCCGCTCATTTTCTCTGCCACTTCAACTGGAGAAGTCAGTCTTCTACCCTTCATCTCTCCTGTTTCAACCCTTTTGGAGCCCTCATCTCTATCTCCTTCCCGATTCCTCATCCCCGATAACTTGTCATATTTAGCTACTGTCACAGATATTCTCCTCCCATCAACAATGACATTATTCATCTTCTCCACCGCACTGCACAGATCTCCTTGCTTGCAAAATGAACAAACGCAGACGTACAATCCTTATATTTCGGTCTCTTGTTAATAAATGGAATAAACACCCTAATGACTTTGCCATGATAACTAAAATGTTCCCATAATGCACTTCTACTCACTCTCCTACTAAGATTATGAACAAACGCAACCAAGTACCCCCTCCATGGACCTCTCTAACTTTACCAGCAGAAAACTTGCACTTCGAATTCTCGCTCTCTCTCTCACCCATGGAAAGTTTTCTCTAGTTGTGCTTTTATATGAAATAAGGGCATTTTAAAATGCATAATTTTAAAATGCTAGTATCTGTAATTGTTTTGTTTGAATAAATATTTTGTAGAATGAAGCTACTGGAATTTAATGAAATAAAAAAATTGTAAAAGGAAGTGACAATATTTAAAGAAAATATGCAATAGGAGTATTATTAGATTTGTAAAAGTGGATAGATATTATTACAATATACAAATAATATATTTATTAGAGTTAAATAAAATGATATTTTGTCTTTTAGTTTTTTCATTTTACTGTGGGCCATGTGGGGTAAAATGAGGATTTTTGGAGGGGATGGAAAACCTCTCTTGGTGGAATCTGAATAGGGATTTTGAGGTGCTCCAATTCCTTCTTGAAATTCCTCCTCAACTTTGAATTTTTTTAACTCATAGAAGTAAATTAATTACAGGGAACCTTGATTGAAATGAAATCTCCCCTCCAAATACCCCATCCCAATACATTTTAAAAGTTGAGATGGAGGTTAAGAGTTTAAATTTTAATGTTTTGGTTGCCTTTTTAATTCAAGAATAGTCCAGCGGGAAGCTAAATTTTATTTCAAAATTCAAATTTGATTATAGGCCACTGTCCATTGCTGACTAATTTTCAATGTCATTACCACCTATATAATTACCTTCATATGGTCATTTTAGTCAAATTAGCAATATAGTTTTAGAATTGGTCTTGAGTTAGGTTGGATATGTCCTTAACTAATGCATTCAGCAGGAGTTCCAACTTTAAATTGAAGCCTGATTGTAATATTGCACTGTTACGTAATTTTCAAGGCTCAAGAGGGTTGCTTGTGGTGATTTTTTTTAAATAAAAGGAAATTAACTCTGTTTTGCAAATTTTATAACAAGAGGAAAAATGTCATATTTTTAGAGCCCTTTAGATGACCTTGACATTATGTAACTATTCATGTTCAGGGACTTGTGGATTCTTTACATCGTGGGCAGAGTACTGCAACGGTTTTGCAGTCATTGGGCTGTATTGCCCAATATTCTGTTTCAGCTTTTGAAGATCATGATAGAGAAATCACAGAATATGTGTATGAAAAGATTTTTCAGGTAACTAATTTGTGTTTGCCTAGTGTTTTTGTGGAATTTAGAGGCTAGAGTATCTAATCTGCTTTTGGTAATTGTTATGTGCTGACTAATTTTTGAGTTTAATATCTGAAGGCAAAATCATTGGATAATCCTTCAGTCATTGAGGATAGCTCTGGGTGTACTACTTGCAAACTAAAGGTTAGTGTTGGAAGAGGGAGCTTTCCTATGCAAGTCTTAATTAATTCTACTTATGTTGATTTCCTTTAGAGTTGAGTTTAATGTTTTAATAATTAAGATCAGATTCTATCTTTCAACTGCAGCATTTCATAAACTGATTAAAAATGCAAAATTTGAAGGGAAATTAAGTTAAATGGTCATCAAGTGACTGAAAGCAAGTTAGGTTCAGCTTGCAGATCAAACTATGTATTCTTATCGTTAAGGCAATTATATAGGGAAATTTATTTTTCTAGAACAACAATGATGGATTCCAGAACCTTTGTTAATCATACTTCTAATATTACAACGATAGAGGGAATTTTTTTTGGGTGTGAATGGATATAATGTTAGTGTAGCACTTTTAGGGCTGTTAAGTCCTGCTTCAAGTTCATCTGGCTGGCATAGATAAAAGTCCACTAGGGCTGTTAGGGATGAGTGGGAATCTGACATGCTAACTTCAACTTTTAGCATTTATATTAGTTGATATGCTATATGCTATTGTGTATATTGGTCAGTGGTTGCTTTAAGTAAATTGCTACTCACGCCTAACAACTTTAAGTATATTGTCTTGTTAAAAACTTTTTTGATTGTTTCTAGATAAATCTGTCATTTAGATTGCCTTCTCTCTCTCAAAGAACCAACACATTGTATACATAAGAAACTTCTAATTCAGTGGCTTATAATTTAAGGGGTAAATATACATTATGGTACATGAACTTAGCTTCAAAGTGCAATTCGGCACCTAAACTTGTTTTTGGTTCAATTAGGTATCTGAATTTGCTTTAAGGTTCAATTTGGCACCTAAACTTTTTTTTTGTCTAATTAGGTACTTGAACTTGGCTTTTAGGTTCAAATTGGTACCTAAACTTGACTTCATAGTTTAGATTGGTTAAAATAAGTGATCTACATAAGTACTAATTTGGACCAAAAAGTGAACTTTGGGTACCAATTTAAAACAAGTCAATATCTAATTGAACCAAAAAAGTTTATGTACCAAATTACACCTCGAAGCCAAGTTTAGGTACCAAAATATGTATGGCGGTTGGAAAGCTTCCTGTTTATCTATGGCGGGCAGAGTGGTGCTTTTGAAGTCGGTAATGTCTTCCTTACCCATCTTTTTCCTATCTTTCTTCAAAATTCCTTGTAAAATTAGCCAGAAGATTTATTCATTGATGGCAAATTTTCTCTAGGGAGTTGGAGCTGAGAAGAATCGAATTCAATGGGTGAATTGGAAGACTATATGTAAACCGATGAGTAATGGAGGTCTGGGAGTTTTGGATATGAATCTTACCAATCGAGCATTGTTGGGTAAATGGGTTTGGAAGTTTGGAGAATATGCGAGTCTAGGCATCAGAAATTTGACATTTTCAGATTCAAGTTCTAAGGCCTAATCAGTGGGCAACAGTGAGCCCGAATCCCCTATCTCAAGGAATATTCCTGTTGGGCCAATAATAAATTTAAAGGGGTATGGGTTTCTGGGCAAAGAAAAAATCTAGGTTTCTCCTAATTATTCAGGGGACGAAATCAACTGCCAGAAAACAGAAAATTTATCCATCAAGAGTGCCCCGGAAGGGAGGAGGTGGTCGGTCGCTTCAACAGAGTTTACAGTAGATCAACAGCTAGAAAAATTTGGCATCAAAAGGAGCATGACACTATTTCTGTTACAGCTGAGGATTAAGATGAGCAGAGAGACAAATCTTTAGTGGTTTTTCGGGTCGTATATTAGACCAGGAGACATATTTCTAGAGAAGATTCCACACACACTTTTTCCTATCTCCAAACAATATCTCGAGGGCAATTAAATTTTGATGAAGAATGTCATTCGGGTGATTGCAATTCTAATATCATGAATGAGAAAAGTAACATGAGGTTTAGAAGATCTTTGATAAGGGATGCGTTAGAACAGGTCAATATTCCTACAATCTCTTCCCTTGCTTTCTCGGCGTTAATGGAGGAAGCTCTAGCTACTTGGGAAGTTAGCAAGTTATTGGGTGTTTCCTTCAAGGATGGGAAGAAAGCCTTTCTGGAAAAAATATAATTTGGAGAAATGAATTATTTTGGCTAGGTGAGGTGGTTGCCTTTGAGCAGGATAATTAGGGTCTTTGATAGTCACATGTTGATGCCTAAGTTCGCTATTGTTACATGGAATGTAAGGGGTTTAGGGAAGAAGGAAAAACAAAGAGCAATTCAGAACTTGGTTTCCAAGCTCAATCCGTCTTTTCTTTTTTTGCAAGAAACTAAAATGGAGAATTTTCCTACATCTTTTTTTAGAAGGAAGGGGTTGAACAATTTTCAAGGGGTTGTAGCGTTGCCAGCTGAAGGCTCGTAAGTTGTTGGGATGATAATTTTTTCGAAGTGGAAGATCAGTTTGTTAACAAAAGGTTCATAGCCATCTTTGGGAAGTTTAGATTTAATAATTTTAGATCCGGTTTTATTAACGTGTATGGGCCTTCCATAGAGGATGAGAAAGCTGATTTTTTGAGGAACTTTGTCTATTTTGGCTACTCACAGTATCCCTTTATGTGTGGGAGGGGATTTCAACGTCTACTTAACAGATGATGAGAAGAAAGGTAGATCCCAGAACAGGAATTCTGTGGAGATATTTAGGCTATTTATTCTTCAAACTGGCTTAATTGATTTACCTCTATCAGGAGGAATGTTCACTTGGTGCAATAATCGGGATTATCCAACTTTCGTTAAACTTGACAGGTTCTTGGTGGATTCTAATTTCTTGACAGCCTTTCCTGAGATCATTCAGTCTCTTCTTCCCAAGTCGGTTTCAGATCACAATGCAATCATTCTTGAAAATGGGAAAGCAAGTTGGGGCAAAAAACCTTTCAAGTTGTTTAATTATCTAATGGAAGAGGTTGGTTTTGAGGAGCAGGTCGTGTCGTCTATTAAAGAGGTTAAGAAAAATCAGAATAGAGCTGGAGTTTTAAGTATTTTGAGAAGCACGAAATATGCCATTAAAGACTGGTATGGTTCGAGGGGTTAGTGTCCCAGTGCTTCGATCACTGATGTTGAAGGAAAAATCCACAGTTTAGAAAAGGATCTACAGTAGAATCATAATTCGAATGGGAATGTTGCAGTTTTGGCTTCGCTGAGGAAGGAACTATGGAGACTGTATAAAATCGAGGAGCAGATTTGGTTCCAAAAATCGAGAGCGAAATGGGTGAAAGACGGAGGTCATAATTCAAGATTTGTCCATACTTGTGCTTCCATAAGGAAGAGGCTGAATTCTTTGAATGTTTTGAATGTTAAAGGAATCCTCATCAAGGATCCGACTCTCATTAAGGCAAGTGTCCGAGATCATTTTTTCGAAATTTATAACAACCGATCTACCTTGGAAGTGGAAGACGTGAGGCTGAATTTTGCTAGTATTTCCTTGGAACAATGTCTTCTTCTAGAAAAGGAATTCTCGGAGGAAGAAATTTGGATGCCTTAAACTCGTGCGATAGCATAAAGCTCCAGGGCCGGATGGGTTGAATATGGGGTTTTTCAAGAGGTTTTGGTCCGTTCTAAAAGAATATATTTTAAGATTTTTTCACAACTTTTTCGTTGGCAAAAACTGGGAGCACGGATCAATCATACCTTCATTACACTCATCCATAAGGGTTCAACATAGGCGGCTTAGATGACTAGAGACCTATCAGCTTGGTTGGGGGGTGTACAAGATCCTTTCCAAGTGTCTTTTGAGGAGAATGAGATGTTGCATTAGTGATATCATCAGTTCTTTGCAATTCGCTTTCATCCCTGGTCAACAAATCCTTGACTGCTCTTTTATCGCCAATGAAGGAATTAACTATTGGAGGAAAAAAGGTCTAAAGGGTTGTGTTTTCAAGGTGGATTTTAGAAAGGCTTATGACACAGTGGATTGGCCAATCTTTTTATGGTGATGAAGAAGATGGGTTTCGGGGAAAAATGGTGAAATTGGATAAGAAAATATGTTACTTCCGCCTCGGTGTTAATTTTGGTTAATGGGGTGCCTATGAGGAATTCCCAATGGCAAAGGGTCTTAGACTTGGTTGCTCCCTTTCTCCGTTGTTTAATTTGATTGGGGAACTTCTTAACTTACTGATACTCAAAGCGGTTTCCTTGGGACTATTTGATGGTTTGGTGATCGGGAAGCAAGAAGGTTCTTTCAATTTATCACATTTGCAATTCACAAATGATCTAATTATTTTTTATAATGCCTCAAAGATGTAGATTCTTAATGTCAAGAGAGTTCTACGTGTCTTTGAAGTTATGTATGGTTTCAATTGAATCTTAACAAAAGCAAATTATTTGGCATAAACACAAGCGAAGAGGAGGTGTAGGAGTGGGCGAGTGTCATTGGTTGCACATTTGGAAAATTCTCTTCTGATTATCTTGGACTGCCTCTTGGTGCTAACATAAATTTTGCTGCTTTATGGGATATAATTCTGAATTTTTACAAGAAACTTTCAGGTTGGAAGGGTCAACTCTTTCTTTGGCAGGGAGATTGGTATTGTTAAAGGCGGTTCTATGTTCTCTTCATTCTTATTATTTATTATTGTTCAAGATCCCTTCTTATAGGGAGGAGGAATTGAAAATAACAAGGTTCATTGGGTTAATTGGTTGACAGTGTGCAAAGCCAAAGAGAATGGGGTCTCGGTGCGTTGGACCTCAATTTTATTAATAGAGCTCTTCTTGGAAAATGGTCTTGGAGGTTCGCCAATGATAAAGAATTCGATTGGAGGAAGATGATTTGCAGTAAGTACTCAATTGACAAGAATTCGTTGTTGTTCAACAATAATAATCCGACACAAGCTTCTCGGCTTTGGAAATCGGTGGTGAAAAATCATTTTAAAGAAGATTCTTTTGGGTCCAAGTTTCGCAGCTTATTTAATGTACAAGTTGGAAATGGCAAGTTCATTCGGTTTTGGCAAGACATGTGCGTTGGAATCTTTTCTCAAAGATGCATTCCCTAGACTTTTTGTCCTTTCTACAAATCAAAATGGTAAGTTAATAGAATTTGGCGAAATTCATAATGAAGGCTGGGTTTGGAATATAGAGATGAGAAGAAATTTAAGCGATTGGGAATATTTCTTCGATTCTTCACGAAAATGCTAAAATGTTTCTTTTAGCTTGGAAAAATTTGGTGTCTCATTCCATAATTTGGTCCTTCATTCTGGGTGCTATTCTTTGGATAATTTGGAAATTTAGAAATGCTATTGTTTTTTATGGGGAGATGCTAGATCATAATGAATTATTTTTCATTGCTAGGTTCAGGTTGGCTTCTTGGTTCTTAGCAAAGAATAATGATGTTTTATTTCCAAAGACATCATTAGTGATCTTTCTCTAGGGGATGTCTACTCGAATTCTAAAAATCTGTTAGCTGAACAAATTCCTTGGTCCCCTCCTCCCAAAGGTTTTCTTAAACTGAATGTAGATGCAATCGTCAGTAGTGACTGGAAGACTAGTGGTATGGGCGGGATTTTGAGAGATGAAGTTGGTTCGGTGCTTGGCTCTTTCCAAGAAGCAGCTGGTCCGGATCCTCCTTCCTTAATGGAGCTCAATGCAATCAAGCAGGGTTTAATCTTTTATATTTCCTTTCAATGGTGCTATAAGAAACGGTTAATTATTGAAAGTGATAGCAAGTTGTCTGTGGAGTGGGTTAAGAATATAGATAAATGTCCAGTGCTGATTGTTACTATTGTTAAGGATATTGTTGATAGGTTAAGAGTTCAAGAGAGTCTTATTCGTTGGGTAGCTAGGATATCTAATGTAGAGGCTGATGGTTTAGCTAAATCTGGTATTGGCTAAGTTAGGGAGTTTTAGCTTGTGTGGTTCTTTCTATTTTTTTTTCGGGCTTCTTGTTGTAAGAGGGGTTATTCTTGGAAGTAGTATACTCTTTGTAATACTCTTTAATCAATAATATTTGAGGCACTCTTTCCCTCCTTCCGCTGATTAAGGAATTCCACTAGGCGTTCCGTTAATCATGAAGGGAGTTTTTAATGAGGCCTCATCTTCTTATAAAGAAAAAAGATTCCTTATAGAAAAAAATGTTGTGCGGCAAACACAATGTCAGCTGCAATACCATGGCAATCAACAAGGTTTTCTCTTCTCAGGACTCTTGATATGGAGAAGAATTGTCAGTTTCTTGAAGGATGACTCGACTGGAGTTTGCCTTAGATCCCATACGAAGTTTCAAGTGGGAAATGGTAAATCTATCTCTTTTTGGAACGATATTTGGATAGAGGATACTTCCCTGAAAAACCAATTCCCTAGGATTTATGCTCTTTCTTCCAATAAATGGGGTATTATAGCTGATTTTGGTAGTTATGATTCGAATGGCTGGGAGTGGAATATACAAACTAGGAGAAACTTATGTGATTGAGAATTGGAACAGTGGGTGGATTTAATGTTAAAATTGAATAACATTAAATTGACCGAATCAGTGGGCGATTTTTTATCGTGGTCTAGGAAGGGTGATGGACTGTTCTCGGTAAAATCTTGCGAATGTCCCTCTCTTTGGGGAAATTTTTTTGTGGAATAAGTGGGTATGGTTGAGTTTAGACATTTCTTTGGCAGATTTCTCATCAGAAATTGGCAATGAGAGTAGAGTTGAAGAAAAGGGGGTTCCCCTACGAGAAGATAGTTTGTGTTCGTTTTGCAGTCAGCATGAAGAAACAGTTCAGCGTCTCTTCATCTCATGCTCAGTACGTGGGAACTTTGGAATAAATTAGTCAGCTTTGGGATCTTTCTTTAGCATTGCCACGTGATCCTCCTTCCCTTCTTAGTCCTTGGTTGATTTGAGGGTTAACTCGACTATATGGAAGTTTATTCGGGTGCTGTTTTTTGGTATATTTGGAAAGTTAGGAACTCAGTTGTTTTCGAAGGAGTGAAACTTGATAGGTCCTCCCTACTCGTCATTGTTAGATTTAGGTTAGCAAAATGGTTCCTAGCCAGGTTTCCTCGCGTTCCTATCCAATCGGATTCGTTGATTGGAGATCCTTCCCTTGCAGACAAGAATTCTGTTTCAAAGGTTCAATGTAGGCCATTGATATGTTGGAGTCCATCCCAGTTGATTTCTTTAAGATGAATGTTGATGGAGCTGTAAGTTTTGACGGGTTGGTAGGAGGAATCGCTGGTATTTTAAGAGATTGGAAACGCTTCACTCTACTGACTTTTTCAGAAAGTGTTGGTCCGAGCCCTCCACCTTTAGCAGAATTGAAAGCCATTATAAAATGCATCGAGAGTTTTATATCTTCAGTGTGGGTTCCTGAGGGTAGACTGGTTGTTGAAAGCGACTGCAAGTCTACAGTGGAGTGGATTAAATCTCCTTCTACTGCTCCTTTCTTTAGTAACCTAGTCAAGGATATTGTGTCACTTGTATCAGCTAAGCCGTATATAGTTAGGTTGGTTCCAAGGGGTTGCAACTGTGAGGCTGATCAGTTAGCAAAAGAGGGTATTGGGTCATTGTAAGGGTTTTTTTTAGTTGTTCTTTGTGTTTTTGTAAGAACACTTGTTTTGGGTGTAATGTTTAAGTCTTATGTAATCTGGTTCTATTAATAAATTGAGATACTCTTTTCCTCCTTTCGCTAGTCGTTTCTTTCTTCTGGAAAAGGGACTACTATGAGGGAGGTTTTTAATGAGGCCTCCTACTTTTATAAAAAAAAAGTTAGAACAATGATATAGTGAACTTAGGATACTTCATTAATGTTAGGAGATACATTTCACTGGCTGGTAAGGTTTTTTATGGTTAATTTAGTTTGATGAATATCCTTTGCAGATTTATGGGCTTAAGATGCTTGTCAAGAGTTTTTTGCCCCATCGAGGGTGTCATATCAATAGACAAATTAAGTCATTGTTGGACATTTTGTTGAAGATGCTTCAGAAGGAGGATGTGGTTGATGATATCATCTCATGGTATGATTTCTAAAAGATGTACATTGTCTATTTCCTTACATCCACTTGGAATACTAAGGCAAAGGTTTTTTTGTGTAAAATAAAAACCTAGGATCACAACTTCCCTGGAAACATCACTAAAAGCTTCTAATACCTTAATTTTTCTCTTAATGAATGGAGAAGTCAATCTAGAATTCTAATGTAATTTATAAGTATCTTTCAAGTTGCATGTAAGCCTATACTTCTAACCCAACTCGCTAAATGTCTATGGTAACAGCAGAATGATACATTAAAAATGGATTGCAATCATTTTTGCATAAGATTAACATGTATATGTCTATTCCATCAATAGTTCTAATCATCAGGTTCATTATATGTCTTATGCTGCGTTTGGTAGAATTATTATTTTTTTCCTTATGTTTTAGCACATGAGTTAGCAATGAACAAACTTCGTAAACTTAAGTCACTCAAATGTGTTAATTTGAACAAAGGTAAGAGATATATATTTGTCCAGCTTCACATGAAATTTCCAAATCAATCTAAAAGGATGACTCAATCACTTTAAATTTATGAAGTTCAAGTTAAACAAAATTCTTGAATTCATAAAGAAAAGAAATCAAGCATTATAAAATTAGGATCCATTATAATTCTAGAAAACTAATCTAGTTAATGAAAAAAAGAAAGGGAAATTATTTGATACGTAGTAAAATTAAACTCCACAACCTTGCCTATTTTAATCCTAAACCTTATACCTTGAACCCAAACATCTAAACCTAAACCCTAAACTCTAAATGTGATAAATGGCATTCAAATAGGTAAGGTTGTGGAGTCTAAATTTTATGCTGCCTGTGTATCAAAAAAATATTCATCACAAAGGAGTTCTACCATAGTTAATATTACAACAAAAGAAATAAAAGGAGGTAGAAAAGAGAAACTGAAGGCTGTATTCTCTTTAGATCCTTGTAACTTTGTTTGGGCTTCTCTCCTTTTGAAACTAAACTTGCTTATATATCTTAAAATAACCCTAAGAGGTCTTAAAATAAAAGGTCAAAGCTCTATCAATGTATGAATCCCAAAACTTCAAAATTCAGAAACCTTGTGGAAAAAGATACTGTTGGTCGCCGCAGTGATGAGGCTCTGACATACTTAGATATAGGTTTTCCATGTTATACTAGGTTAAGAACCTAGCTCTAGCCCCATGCTACTTTTGGTGAATAGGGGATTTTTTCTTATATGATTATGTGGTAGAACAAACCTTTAGACTATTAGGTTTCTTGTTTCCTAAGACTCTATCTTATCTTCTAAGAAAGAGAGTTCCAATAAAAATAAGACTAATTCTAAAAGCAGCTGAAAATAAAGCAACTATTAATAAAACTTCAAATAAAAAACCGGCTGAAAAGAGTGGCAATTATGAAGGGGTTTTATAACGGCTGAAAAGAGCCCTAATCGGCTTCTTTCTACATAGATATTATGTTATTCTTTTGTTTCGGAGATTATTGACAACCTTTCCTCATTACTCATGCATTGGCTTTATGTTCTAATGCAGTGTAGATGACAGGGATTATATAAGACTGGCTGCTGCAAAATCTGTTCTCCAGCTTTCTAGAAGATGGGACCTACATATTTCTCCAGATATTTTTCGCTTCACAATTTTGATGGGAAAGGTTGGTAGTTTTGATCTAGCAATTTGAAGTCTAAGCACTTATCATGGACTCCTATTGCTAACCGAGTAAAACACGCCTCTTGAATTAAATATTTTTGTTTAATAATGGAATATAAGACTTTGTTTAAAACGTGACTTCAGTTTTCATGTTTCTTCCTGCTTGCCTCAGCTTTTAATTTTCTTGAAATGGTTAATAGTTGTTTCTTTTCGGTTATATCATTGTATTTCCGTTAATTACTTCTACTGCTTTGATTTTCCAGGATTCTTCTTCTTCTGTCAGGATATCATTTCTTGATAAATTACACAAGCTGTTGAAGGAACGAGTTATACCTATAAGATATGCTTGTGCTTTTATGCTGGCTACCGCTGATGGCTTCAAGGATCTACAGCATGTAAGCATTTCCGTTTTTTCTGATATATCTTGTAAATATAATCTATATTCTTTGCATTTTACTAATTCGTACAAGCTGATTTACCCTTCTAGTCATTCAAATATATGGAGTTTATCAAGGAATATGGTAGAGAAGCTCGAATACACCAAACATCTATTGTGCAGGAAGGGTCAATTATGGTCTACCCAGCATACTTGGTGGTATTCTTGATCCATGTGCTTGCGCATGATGAAGACTTCCCACCTGAAGGTTGTCAGGATGAAGCATTATATGCTCAATTTTGCAGGTAAATGTTTTTCGGAAGTCAAGTTTTGTATTCCGGTTTTCCTCAAACTGAGCATGGATGATACCCTTGCCAATTTGGTCATGTTATTTTTTTCCCGTTTTGCAGTCCACTTCTTTTGTTCTTACACACATTAATCAACTCTAATAACATTGATGAAGATATGAATCTTATCAACGATGCTGCTTTCAATTTGTATTATATATTTCAAGCTATTAAAAGAGCGAAGGATGCTGATGATGCTCTGAGAACTCCTGTGAGACTTTAACTTCTTTGATTTCTTTGTTGGGTAACTAATGTAGTTCATTTCAACCCAACAATGCTTTGTGAATAAGGAAATTTCTTACAATGCAGAGGCTGCACTTTCTAGCCAATGTTGGAATTTCTGGTGTAAATTCATTTTATCAGAAAGGCATCTCCTCTTTACCCAGACCAGGAAAGATCTTGCTTCCATCATCATTGTATAAAATAAATCATATGGAAAATGAAGAGGCAAGTTCCGGATGGCATGTTTCCTCTTCTGCAGTTAAAAGATTCTGGCAAAATTCTAATTTAGTTTTGTGTCCAGGCTAATTTGAGTTTTCTTACTCAAACTTTTGTTGCGAGGGTCATTCACATTTTCAAGTCTCAAATCTCTCTGGTGCGTATGAGGTTGTTGATATATGATTGGCATGATTAATATACTGATGAATTTTATATTTGAATGCCATCCATGTGCCTGTGCATGCACACATACACGCAAACACATGCAAGTATTTCAATTGGAGATTGTTGATTGCATCTATGTTACAGCCAGTTGGATCTGTTCATAAACGTGGTCGGAAGTGTCACGAGAATGATATTTTTAACATGCTATCACATAAGCGTGAAGATTTTTCAACTCGTGGGGCACTTGTGCATAAAAAACCTACAAGGCAGGATATCAGTCTGGGACATAGGCGAATACGTGCTGTTTCTCCAAATGCATTGGGATCTGTTAGATCACACAATAAGGAGCAGGAATGTGGTGCATCTAACAGTTCTGAGTCAGCTTTAGAAAAAGGGAAGCCCTTTTCTTCTTCCAATTCTTTCACTCAGAAAGCTTCTCAGATGGAACCAGAAGTTCCAACTCAGAAAGTTGAAGGATGTAGTGCCTCGGAGGGAAATGTTGGTGCAGATAAAAGCAACACTGCTGAAGCCTCCAATAGTCACAAGGTAAAGCTCAACATTCCATTTAGCTCAAAAGTAAGATCTTTCTCTGACTGACACGATTGTAGCTTTAGCATCTCTGCCTTCTGCTATAAGTATACTATATCTATATATATTGGCCAATAACTAACCGTATTTTGAACTAAGCAGGAAATGGGTACCGGAAATAAGGCATTAGTTGGACAGCGGATCAAAGTATGGTCTACCTATGATAACTGGTAAGTCTTTTGTTCAAGTATGTACTTCTGCAAGTTTTGAAGTTTGTGCAGATTTTAGTTTGATTTTATTTTATCTTTATTTTTCAGTTTCTATACGGGCACCGTTGATGACTTTAATCCAGTAAACAACACACACAAGGTAAATGCTTGCAAATATTGTTATTCAATGGGGGTACTTGTTCTCTTATAGAAATTTTAGGTGCCGCTTAGGAACTGTGTGGAATTTAATTTTACTCGATTTGTTGATTTTTATTTATTTGGTTTGTGTCTAGTGTTTCCAAGAAATTGTGAGATTTCTTTGATTTAGAATTGAATGTTCAGTTTAGCTATGAGAAAATATTTTCTTTCTGAAAGAATTTGTTTTATCCATAAAATGTGATATACATGCATTAGTGAATTTCTTTACATCTCAGACAATGGGAAAAGAACCTCAAATGAGAAGGGCAACATACTTTGCTTTTCCAACAGTAGGATGACCCTATTGTTTTGATTAGATTTGTTTTCTTGCAATTGACAGATCATGTGTGATAGTGGGGAAGTTGATATATTATGCTTGGACAGTGAGAGCTGGGAGACGATAAGTGACTGTTCCTTGACGGATAGGGTAAGTGTGAAAGATAGAGTGTTTCTTTTGAGCTTCAAATTGTTAAGCATGTGTTTGTGTTTTAAAGATGTATAGGAATTGGATTTGTGTCCACTTCCATAAATACGTCAGTCTAGTTAGAATTAAATTTGCTCTGACCTCAGACTAGAGAACTGAAATTAATTATATTCTTTCGACTCTATGAATGATGGCAAATTAGCCAAATTGGGAGGAGGGCAGGGGGTGTTGCATTAGTTAGAACCTGGATATGGTTTATGCCTTAAATGGCTGATAACCACCAAACCAAGCGGTTATTGGAATAATAATCCTGTTACACTGAGAATAAGAAACAGCAGTAAAAATAATATTTACAAAATACAATGACTTAATCGCTGTCCAATCCTACATGATTTTCCATCCTTGATTTTATTATATTAAACTTGTTCTGTCCATTTTTTGCATGAAAGGAGATTCAACCATCAGATAAGCCAAACGCCTTGCATTTGCGGCAATGGTAAGTTGATCTATAATTTTTTTGGCTATAATGAACTGCATCTTGCTTTTCCCACCACCCATTCAATTGTTCCGTGAAATTATTATTGAGCATATTGCTTATATAATTTCCTTTGTTTGTATACTTTATCATGCAAATTAATCCTACTATTTTGGACTCCAATTGTTTCTGCTGTTTAACAATGCCTAAACTTTGTTCGATTTGCCTTTGATAGTAATCTTGTTTCCATTATAATAAAGTCGCAACTACCAGTCAAGTTGTGAAGTACTTTATTCTTTACTCTTACTTTACTAAGGATTCTTTTTTGCTGAATATTTCATGAATGACAACAGATACACAAATAAAAGCTTATGTTTTCAGTATGTCCTGATTTATGGATATTATACAACTCATTGCTGTTTTCTGCTATTTTTTTTGGTTGCATTCTGCTGTCAATAGTGTCAAAGAGACAGCTGTTAAGCTGATAAATGATTCCAGGCAACAGTCAAAGACAAAGTTAAATATGGAGGACAGTAAGGTTCATTGCAGAGGTAATTTAGCTTTACATTTAATAATATTATTATTATTTTTATTTGAAACTCTTGCCTGTTCCTTACATGTCGGCCATTAAAGGGCTTTTGTAATATTTTTAAATTTATAGAAAGGTGATTAATTTTATGATCCAGAAAAGAGAAAGAAGGAAGAGAGATCATCCAGAAATTCATCAGTATCAGAAGTTATCAATATAGACGAAGATCGTGTAAGTGCACCATTTTTACATTTTCTTCTTTTTTTAATATATGTTTCTTAAACAAGGAAATACTGTCATACATTTTTTTGGAAAAAAAATATTGGCTGCTCTGTGCACTGCACAGACCGTTTATATTCAAAATAAGTATTGGTTTGTTTGTGATTGACCAGGTTGCAAGAACTCGGAGACGAAAAGCGTAAAGTGAGATGGTAAATGTCAAATGCAATGGCCACTGATTTTACTCGTGCCTGCTGTAATCCCTTTCTACCGATTGCTTTGCTCTTTCTTTTTTAAATATAGTGTGGGTGTATCTATTATCAGTAAATATGGTACATAATATCACCACTAGTAATTATCCTTTCTGTTTTAAAGGTGGTACTTGTTTGTATGATGGTCTGCTAAAAGTAGTTTGATTTTGGTCTACTTTATTAATTAATTATGCCTTCCATTAACATTATTTTTTTATTGTTCAAAAGCATTTGACAGTGCCCCTTCAAGTGAAAAAAGTAAAGTTAAAATGCTAAACAATCAGTTTCTTTTTTTAAGTGTTTTTAGCTCTTGGAGAATTTAATTTTGATATGAAATTATAAAATTTTCTTGTTTTTATATTGGGTAATACAATTATTTTGGATACGCAGTTCACTTTAAATTGTAAAGACATACATCTATTTTTCAATATGTAAAGTGGTTATACACATTTTCTATTTTGAAATTTATATAAAACATGTAACATAATATGTGGATTTATAAAGATTATGTTGCATGTGATTTTACTTTAAAAAACTTAGTTTATACATTTAAATTAAGTTTTGCAAATATATATATATTAATTGTTTTGAAAGTATTTAACATTTTTTATATTCTAATTTTGATGAATTTAAATACTAGTTTTTTATTTTTTTTTTCAACGTCATGTTTACATGGATATTTTAGTTTCTCACATATTTTTGCGAAAGTAGTATTAAACATTTGAAATCAAGAAATTATATATTTTCCAATATTTTTAAAAATAATTAAATTATATATAAAATTTTAACATTTTTTAAAATAATTTTAAATCATATTTTTCTATTGAATAGATAATTTCTCATTCGAAAAATCTGAGACATCATTGTCTTTCTCTTTTTATTATCACAATACTATAATATTTTGTTCACTATTTATCATTTTCAACTCATTTTATTTCTATCATTAGAATAAAGGGTATCATTTATTGGTTACGAAATTGCCTTGCCTGGTCCTAGCTGGTGGGAAATTATTGGAAAAAATTTCCCCTAAATGATTGTGCTCTGCTTAATCTTGACTTTGATTGATTATCTTCCCATTTGGCAGTACACATCATTATATTTTGGTAAGCAAATTAATACCCTTTAGTTTTATAATCTGTTACTATTAATCTATCAAATACATCAACTTAGAAATCATTGGTAATATTGTAAGAAATTAATTTCTAATATTTATTTTAAATTTTAAATATATATAATAATAATTTTTACTTTTAAAATAATTGTTTAATCTTAGTTATTAAAAAAAACACTTTCTTGATGATGCTAAAGAAGTAAACATTACACGCATACAGAAACTTTAAGGCAATAAAAACAAAGTAATAAATCAAATCAATCACAGCTTATATTAGGAACTTGACATATAAACAGAATGAGGTGCAATTTCTCTTTCAATCTTATAATTTTATATCAATATATATGTTATGCAAGTACAAGAAGAGCCATTATTCATCTATGGGGCATAGAACAAAACTGTTCTTCCATCCAATGGTTGAGTTGGTCTTATATTTGTTTCAAATCCCTGAAAAAAATGTTAATATACAATTAGAAAATGTGAAGAATAAAAAAATCTACTAAATTTAAGTAAAGTTTTAAATCAGTTGAATTCAATCTTTTTATTTGGATTCGATATGTCTTATTTATTTAATTGAGATTTAAAAATATGTATTCATGATTCTCAAATTAAGTAAACACTTGCATCGTGAACAGCATCCCTTAGGGCCTTTACTTGTTCCTTAGAAACTGTCTTCACCTAATAAAAAATCACAAAAAAATTAATTAATTAGCGTTGAATCATCTATTGGAGCAAATTAACAAAAACCAATGAATATATATGTTTATATAAAAATATAAAAATATAGGTTTTTGTTGAGTTATTATTCGATTCACATGCGATATAAAATTATTATAATCTTAAATCGATTATACCTCTAAAATTCTAAAATTTAGTTTACACAACTTATGCGTCAAATTTTGTATTTGCATAATAATATGAAAAGGAAATACCTTTTGGATAAGTGTCCAAACAACACCTTCAGTACATGGAGGAACCGTAAGTGAACCAATGTATCTGAAGTACTTTCTGCCGTTAAATTTGATATCCCTTGGATTAATAATTCCCAAATTTTCCTCTTCTTCTCCTACTGTTTTTATGTCGTGGAAAAGCTGACAGCAAGAAAATTTAAAACTCAATTAAGAGAAAGCAAGTATTAAAGATTTCAATGAAGCTGTTGAGCAGGCATACCTTAGTGAGGAAGGGATCAGGTCGACCATATTTATAAAAAACTGAAATAACTGCCATCTCTCCACTGGCACTTCTGTGAACCATATGGAGTTCCATCTGATACCTGTTTAACAAAATAACATTAGCGACAGAGCCTGGAAAAGTGCTCGTCAGGTATTTTCAAATTCTTGGCCTAGAAATATTTGTATCGGATAATGTCTGTTTTGCTGTATTTTGGCGATGTTTATAGAAGTTCTGAATACTCTTTTTCTTTTCCGTTGTCTCGATTGAATTATGAGGGATTTTTAACAAGGTCTCATTTAAATTATATTAATTATGTATGTGTACGTAGAAGTGAGAAGATAGAAATATACCTGGTTCCATTGAATGTGTGTTCGGATGGTGAATGCCAATGACACTGAATCAGTTTATAATCGGTGCCGTTTACGGTAATTTTGCCAGCATCTCCGTCCCACCTTATCTGATGGTGAATCCATATTGAGAATGTTGGTTATCAAATCATTAACGTGAAGGACGATAACAATGAATGGAATTAAACACAAATTGACCTTAATATCATGTCCACGGTTCTTGAGAACAGCAGGGACAGGTTTGTAGTTCTTTTTCAACTTCCCCAGACTAGGAACAACTCGCAGTTTTCCATTGGGAACGTCTATAGGAGATTGAAACTTTCCAGTCTCACAAAGTTTCCAATGTGGGTCTAATTGCCCCCATTCCTTTGGCCCCTTACCAGTTCCTTCTATGTACGTAAATACAGTTTCATCCTCTGCCCCCCAAAATAAAAACATGCACGTCAAGAATAGATGATATTGAAAGTAATACAAACAAGGGAAAATGAAATTCAAATTCAATAAAAAAAAATCAGATATTATGTCTTATGAAGAATTGATAATAATCAAACAAAAAAGAAACAAGTGAAAGATGAAACCTACCAACTTCATCAGAAGATGCAATGGCTATTAGCAAAAAGAAACAAAGAGAAGATATCAAGAGAGTGGGGAAAGTGATGCTACGAATCCACTCCATATTTTATCTTCTCTTTGTTTCAATTTGCTCACAAACATTCCTTTGCAATGGAGAAATTTATAGTGCTAATACGACGGGCTTCTGTTTGTTTCTTTGCTTTTTCTGTTTTTCTAATTTTTAACCATTTCGGTGAAATTGTTTGGTGGTTCACTATAATTTTTAGTAAGAAATTTATGGATAGGATTTCTCATTGATAGAAAATATATTTTTTTGTTTTCTATTTTTATTTTTAGAAAATAATTTTTATTTTTAGTTTTATGAAAATTGGAAAATATAATTGGTTAATTGAAATGAAAACGTGTTTTTAGAAATAAAAATACTAAATGGGTAAAGTATAAAAATAGTCCCCGAACTTTTAGGGCACTTGCATTTTGGTCACCCAACTTTCGAAACTTGCATTAAAATAATCGAATTTTTAGTTTGTTTTCAGTAAGGTCTTTGCCGTTACTTTCCGTTAGTTTTGCTGATGTGGCACCTATCCCCTATCAACCCCCTTCTTCTTTTCTCCTCCTCCTCTCACACCTCCGTCAACGGTGGCTCACACTGTCATCACCATCGTCACAGGTGTCGCCTCCCGACCACACCTCATCCCTTAATTCATACTCATTGTCCACTGTTCATCCCAAATCGAGAGAAAACCGTTCGAACACCCATCCCTAATCTTTGTCGTCACTCACCGGTACCAGTAGGAGCGCTGCTCCATTTCGACCAAAACCCTGCTAGCCACTTGTCGAGACTCACCTTTGTTCGCCGTAGAGAGGGCCCCGAATCTAGTCGAAAAGCCCCAATGTCCCTTTTTTGTTTTAATTGATTTTTGGTCGATTAGGTCGTCCGTTCGTCATACCGTCACCACTGTTGGAGTCCTCACACCATTTCGATCAAAACCCAGTTGGTTGTGCCTCCTCGCCTCGTCTCTCCTTCGCCCGTCGTTGGTTAAGAAGAAGGAGAAAGAGAAGAAGGAGAGGAAGAAGAAGAGGGTTAACGAGGGGTTGACGTGGGTTAGGTGCCACGCTAGCAAAAAACTAATGGGAGGTAACGACAAAGGCCTTACTGAAAACGAACTAAAAGTTCGATGATTGTATTGCATGTTTCAAAAGTCGGGTGACCAAAATACAAGTGCCCTAAAAGTTTGGGGACTATTTATATACTTTACCCATATTAAAACTGTGTGTGGTATAAATATTTTTTAAAATAGAAATGAATAAATAATTACTAAATAATTAAATTAAACTATAATAATAAAAAATATGATTCAACAAATGAAAGTTTTGAAATTAATAAAAAAAGAATAATTTTTTACTTTTAATAAAAATAATAAGTAAATGTGTTTCAAAAGAAATAACTATTGTGACTTCATCATGATTATGTTTATTTTGAATTTTGAGTTATGTTTATAATTAATCCATAATGATAGCAATTTTTTCTTTGACTTGAGTCATTTAAGTACCTTGTGATATATAAAGAATTAGACGATAACTTTAATCAACGCAATTATTAAATATCACGTTAATAAAAACTCTAATGTCATGAACCATTCTTTCCATTCAACACATATAAACGTAAATAGCATAACATTGGAGGAACCTACCAATACAGTTTAAGAAAGGTTTTGATTTCTATTTTAAAATGGTATATGCTTTGATGCAAAAAGACAAAAATCAACAATATTTGTATCAAGAACGTGGACCTCCATCGATCCTTTATGGGGCAAGCTTTTTGTTGACTGTCTACGTAGCGGATTTAATAATAAACGTTTTTTTTAATTAATCACTTGTATTCGATGTATTGATCGATGAATTTAAATCGGATCTTACAATAGTGAGGGAGACCCTTCCAATCCAAGTTATTGTATCCGCAAATATCATGCTTCAAACTGTATCCTTACTTAAGGGATCTAATGCATCATCCCACTATACCAACTGATTATTGGTTAATAATGGATTTTTTTTATAATCAGGAATGCTTCTGGACATCTTCTCAAAGATGATGCAGTCGGTTTCCAAATCCAAAAGCTCGAGATCTATGTGGATCTTTTATAATTCTTCCACTGCTTCTGCCTTTGTCGACGGCCAGCTATCACAGCCGAACACAACCTTTAATGAACCGAAAAGAAAGACGATATATACAATTGTTATCTGAATGTAACACCCCAATTTATGGGCTAAATTTTAGAAATTTTAAAGTATTGGATTTAATTGGTAATTTGGAAGAAAATTGCGTATTAAATTGTAAGATTTCAAAGTTAGTAGACCGTTTTAAGAAATACAAAAAATTCAGTGGCTAAACTCATAGTTTAACCATTTTTCTTTTGGAGGTATTATAAACCCATTTCCCTTCCTAGTTTCCCTCCCCCTTCAACCATCATTTGAACGCCGATCTACTCGTCGTCCGACCTCCGATCGACGAAGCGAAACCACTATCGTGTTCGTTGTCGATCGAGGAACAAAACTCCTCAAATCTTTCGTCGTGATTCGTCGCCGTTCGTCGTTAATTTTAGTCGGAAGTATCGTCGGTAATAACTCAGTTTCAGTTGGTTTTTCGTCGATTCACGACGATCCGGTCATCCGTTTACGACACCTCCCGCACCATCGTGTTCCTTGCATCGTTTCGAGTCCATCAATGTTTTCTGTTTCTCCTTCGTCGTCAGCGCATGGAGAGGTGAGACTGTCAAAGTTTCTGACGTTTTGGAATCGATATCTTTGCCGTTCAAAATTGTAAACCGAGCTTTGTAAGTGCCTCAAAATCGCTTAAAATAATATTTAGGAATTTTTTCGGGAATTTTCTGACACCGGGTTACTGTTCACACGTCGCACGTGCCACCCCCCGAGAGTGGGCATCGTCTAGGTGATAATTTTACAATTAATTTCTGTTTGGGTGCTATTTGTGTAAAATTCGGGTGTTAATTTAGTAAATATTTACAGAATATGGCTAATTTGGTAATTAATTTCTGCTAGGGTGATATTTGTGTAAAATGGTCGACTGTTGACCGTTGACCGGCGTTGACCACAGTTGACTAGAACTTTGACCGGCGTTGACCAGGCATTAAACGACCTTTGACTTCGACCGAGTATACCTATCATAACATTTTTTGACGTTCCAAATCCGATTCTGCAATCTGTTTTTCGAAATTCGGACTCGGAGGTCTCGAAATTGCCAGTCAAACCCGTTAACTTTGATTTTGACCGAAAATTCAAGATTTTCGAAAAGTCATATTTTATGTTTTCGATCATGAATCCGAATCCGAAGTCCGTTTCGCTAAATTCGAAACCGGTAAGTTGGTTTTAACTGATTTATCATCCAATTCGATCCGTTTTTCAGAATTAAGTTCCGTTTTTTATGTAATTTTTGTTGATATGGATCCGAGAAATATTGAGAGTTGAATTAAAGATCAAAAGCGTTCGAATGGAATTTATATGGTCGATTAGTATGGCACGAAAATCGAGGTAATATTTTACTACCTCTTTATGCTTTATGGAACATGTGAAAATTGGCAAATGCATGAATAAGATAATGTTGGTCACTTTTGTAGAGTTGATTAATTTCTACACTCGATCTGAATACGGTAAAAAGGTTTAGTAATTGATTATGGAGCAGATGACTTTTATAAGAGATTGAGAGATTGTTAGAATTAAATTACAAATTTTGTTATTAGTGATAAAGGAATCAGCATTGAATTTGTAACTTATATTTTATATCAACAAAGGTTAAATACGAAAGATACTCAAATGAGAAATTATGAGAATATTCTGGTTGGGTAAAATTACGAAAATACCCTTATGTTGTAGGATGACAAGAATTGTCCCTGGAAGTTGGTTAATAACTCTGAAAAGACATATTGATCCGGTAAAAATTACTGATGTGCATAAGAAATGTTAGTTTTGCCTAGGAAATGCAGATAACCGGTTTTTAACCCTAAAAGGGTTTGAGCAAGATGCTAGAAGTCTGTTAAGGAATTATTTCAAGATCAGAGAATATTCGAGAAAGCAATTAACCATAGGATCTTTAAATTATAATTATTTTCGTTAAGAGCTAATATCGAAATTATCTAGCTAAGAAATTACGAAAATGCCCTTGAGAGGTAAAATAGTCTGAGTTGACCCTGAAGGAGAAAGTGCTTTGAGGATTTGTACTTAACTCGATTAAGTACGAATTTAATTGTTAAGATCATGTCTTTGTACAGAAAAATTTATGATATTCCGTTTGTAAAATCTGAGAAGGCACTTGACCCGAAAATATTCGAGTAATGAGTAAATACCTGAAGAATAATTTATCGGGGGTATTCTGCTGTCAGAATTGTTTGAAATGACTGAAATAAATGATAAGATTGAATTTAATAGTAAGATCGGACGGAAGAAAATGATTAAAATACACTGAATCTGTAAAATGACCAAAATACCCCTGTAATGGAAATGACCCAAGTATACCACCAAGCTCAGGAATGATGGGATATCCTCGAGCTCCGTAATGATTGAAATAAAACTGAACACCAAAATGACCAAATTACCCTTATGGCCTAAACTAAGTAAATGTCTTGGATTAATTAAGGAATTCAAATAAGCATAGGTGTTGGACTACCTTTAAAAGTAATGGAACATAATTTAAGTGAACATATCAACCCTAAAGCTATGTCAATACCTGAATGGCATAGGTATTACTGGAATGCGTGTCCGTCTTCTCAAGTTTGGCTCGATGATAAATTTTGGAAGTATTCAGCTCAGCTCAACTCTAGATCTCATTCAGTACTAAGAATTGGACGTTTGTTAGACAAATCAACCACGAAGACCAAATTGAATGGAACAGAAGTGCAACATGTATCTGAAATTCAGTAACGTTTGAATTACTCTGGAAAATCCCGAAGTAACTGGAATAGACTTGAATGCTAAATGAACTAAGTAACCTCAAGGACTAAAGATTAAGTAAGTGATTTGGATGAGTCTGGAAACGTTAATGAACATACATGTTGTAATGTTCTTATGGATCTTGAACTACAAATCAAGCACGTCAGCATTTCATGATAT